TGAATGTACATTTCAATAGTGTTAAGTACTATTGTGTAAGTTGGATATTAATCTATATCAAATGTAGGGTCTGAAAATATTTTCTCCCATTTCATAGGTGGCCTCTTCACTCCGTTGATGGCTTCCTTTGCTGTGCGGAATGTTTTGAGTTTGATGCCATCCCGTTTGTCCATTTTCACTTTGCTGTCTGGGCTTCTGGGGTCATATACAAAAAATCGTTGCCCAGACCAATGTCAAGAAGCTTTTCCCCTATGTTTTCTTCTAGTGGTTGTACAGTTTCAGGTCTTATGTTGGTCTTAATCCAATTTTGAGTTGACTTTTGTGTATAGTGTGAGATAAGTGTCCAATTTCCTTCTTCTGCAGCTGGATATTCAGTTTTTCCAGCACCGTTTATGGAAGAGACTATCCTTACCCCAGTGATTGATGCATTGTGTGTTTTCAGTACCCTTGTTGAAGATCAGTTGATCATAAATGCATGGATTTATTTCCAGGCTCTCTATTCTGTTCCATTGGTCTATATGTCTCTCTCTCTCTTTAAAATTACTGTAGCTTTGTAATATATTTTGAAATCAGGAAATGTGATGCCTCCAGTTCCGTTTTTCCTACTCAAGATAGCTTTGGCTATTTGGGGTCTTTTGCTGCTCCATATGAATTTTAGGATGATTTCTGTGGGAGAATGTTGGCTGAAGACCTCCTATTCTACCATTTGCTGATGTCATTTCTTTGTAGTTTTCTTTTCTTGTAGTGTCTTTGTCTGGCTTTGGTATCAGTGAACTTGGAAGCATTTCTCCTCTTCAATCTTTTGAAAGAGTTTCAGGAGAATTGGTATAAATTCTTCTTTAAATATTTGGTAGACTTCACCAGTGAAACCGTCTGGTCCTGGCTTTTCTTTATTGGGCAGATTGATTACTGATTCATTCTTCTTACTGTTATTGGTCTCTTTAGATTTTCTGTTGATTCATTCTTGGCAGGTTGTGGGTTTTTCGGACTTTATTAAAGTTCTTGTAGGTTTTTCAAGTTGTTGGCATACAATTCTTTCAGCTTGTTTTAAGGATATGTGTGATGGCATTTAGGGCCCACTGGGATAATCTCATCTCAAGATCCCTAACTTGATCACATCTGCAAAAACTCTTTTTCCATATAAGGTAACTGTTATGGGTTGAACTGCATTTCCCCCTCAAATTCATATGTTAAGTCCCAACCCCCAGTACCTCAGAGAGTCACTGGGTTTGGAGAGGAAATTAGGTTAAAATGAGGTCATTAGAAAGATCCCTAGTCCACTATGATGGGTGTCCTGATAAGAAGAGGAGATTAGAATACTTCTATGTGCGGACGGCAGACCATGTGAAGACACACGGAGAAGACAGTCGTCTGTAAGCCAAGGAGAGAGACCTCAGAAGAAACCAACCCTGCGGTCACTTTGATCTTGGACTTTCAGCCTCCAGAACTGTGAGAAAATTTCTGCTGATAAAACCACCCAGTCTGTGGCACTTGGCTGTGGCAGCCCCAGAAGACTATAAGTAATATTTACAAGGTTCCAGGGATTGGGCCCCGGATATCTTTCGGGCTGTTATCAGCCTAGCTCATTTGCTTACCACTCCCATCTCTCTAGCAGAGTGCGTAACTGGTGAAAGCAAGGAGTTTAATCTGTTTTGTTCTTAAAACAGTGTCTGTCCTCAGAGAGTTACATTCTGGTGTGGAGAGTCAGACAATAAACAAAGAAGCAAAAGGTACAGTGCTACGTGGTGACAGGAAGGGTGCTGGTGATGGGTGCTCCAGAGAAGGAGAAGGCAGGGCTGAGTGAGGGAGGAAGGTACAGTTGGCAATTTTCAAAAGTGGGTCAGAGAAGGACTTTCTGAGAAGGCGATGTTTGAGTCAAGAGCTAAAGGACGTGAGGGTGCCAAGGTTGATAGCGGAGGGAAGAACATTCTGGGCAGAGAGACAGCAGATGCGGGGTCCACAGAAGAGTGGCTTGCTGCCTGCAAGGAAAGGGAGGAAGGCAGTGTAACTGCATGGCCTGGCCGGGGGCCGAGCAGCAGGAAGTGAGGTCAGAACAGCTGGCCCCTCTCAGGTAGGGGCTCCTCGGCCATTGCAAGGTCTCTGGCTTTGGCCCCGAACGAGACAGGATTTTAAGCAGATGCATGACCTGAGCTGACTTGTGTTTTAAAAGGATTGTTTTGGCTGCTGCGTGGAGAAAAGGCTGAAGGGGAGCCAGGGCAGAAGCAAGCAGCACAGTCAGGAAGTTCTGTCAGTCACCCAAGGCAAGAGCTGCTGGGGGACCTGGGCAAAGCCCTGGCGGTTGGCAGGGGTGACTGGACTCGGGTTATCTGCTGGTGGCGGGGCCGCGGGATTTGCTGATGAATCTGGTGTGGGGTGTGGGAGGAGAGCAGGGCTCCAAAGCTGCTGGTCTGAACTGAAGCTGCCATTTACCGAGATGGGGAAGGTGGGGGGGAGCACATTTCGGTGAGGGTGTGTGTCGCGGGAACCCATGCTACCCATGCAGGCTTATGAGACTTCCAGGTGGAGATGTTGAGAACTGGCCGTGAATGTGCAAGTCCAGAGTTTGGGGAGAGGTCAATGCTTGGAGGTGTCAGCGTGGTAACTACCAGTGCATACCTGGTATTTAAAGCCATGAATTTTGAGAAACCGAAGAAGGGAGGGCCCAGGGCTGATGCTGGGGCAGGCCACATTTCAGAGGCTGGAGAGCTGCCGAGGGACCAGCAAGGGATTTTTGTTGTTGTTGAACAACTAAATGAATGAATGAATCTCATTTGTCACTACTCTTGGGCACCCTGTCACTCCTCACTGATACAGCACCCCCTGTGGTCTCCATCATTAACCCACCCCTACCGGCTTCTGATCCATCCTCTATCTTTCCTTGGTCTGTCTCCTCCCACCAGGCACTCCAGCAGTCTGTCTTGCCCTCTGGGCGATCAGAGGGTTGCTCTTCCTGCCCGAAAGGACTGACCCTCCTCTCTGCTCTGTTCTTTGCCTGGTAAATTGCTTCTGTGCTCTGCTGTCCTCTGGGAAGCTGTCCCCGAGCATCGCCCCACCCTCTTTTCTCTTTCCAGCCCAACGCCTGGCTCCACGAGGGTCCTTGTGTGCATGTGCAGTCTGCGCTGCAAACTCCACCCACACTTCCAGCAAACGGCTCCTTTGCCACCCGTCTGGCCTCCACGTGTGCCCACTGGCCACCGGGTTCACTGTCAGGAGGACAGATGCAGACATGAGACCATGTGGGCCCTGGAAGTGAACTTGGTTTGGGGAGGAAATTCCAGAATCTGATACCCAGAGTGTGCTCTAGAAGGAAGCTGTGGACTCCAGGTGGGCACATCCCCAGACCCCTTGGATTTTTGGCCCAGAGGGGCCGATGGATGGCCCAGGGGGTGGGTGCGTCTAAGGGTCTACTGAGTCTCCTGCTGCCGCCTGCAGGGTGTCAGTTTTTAGGTTTTATAAGAAGTGGTGTCTTAACCGGCCATGTGTGAAAGTGAGTCTCTTTAGCGGAGATGTTTAGCGGGGAACATTCTTAAATGTTTTCTTGGGTCAGGCGGTTTCTTTTCTCTCTGTATGACTGTTCACCAAGGTCAAGAGTTTGGTCTAGACAGAAAAGTCATTTTTGTTTCCTCTACCCCGTCCAGCTGCACCCTCAGTGTTCGAAGGCCAAAGATTTGGGCCCAAGGGATGAAGGCTGTGGAGGAGTGGCTGTAGGGGTGAACTCACCTCCTTGGAGGGAGAAGACCTTCCATGGGTGGGCGTGTTTGGGGCTGGCCACACTGCTTCCTCTGCCAAGGGACTATTCTTATTAAAGGACATGCTAAACTTAGAAAAGGATCTATTCACCAGAAGCCGATGGCATCATTAGAAGGTCCACAGACAAGGGTGCTGGAGAGGGTGTGTGGAGAAAGGGGAACCCTCTTGCACTGTTGGTGGGAGTGTAATTTGGAGTGGCCGCTGTGGAGGGCAGTCTGGAGATCCCTTGAAAAACTAAACATGGACTTACCATATGATCCAGCAATCCCATTCCTGGGTGTATATTCAGAGGAAGCTCTGATTCGGGGGGGATATGTGCACCCCAATGTTCATAGCAGCGCAATTTACAATGGTCAAGACATGGAAGCCACCTAAATGTCCCCAGACAGGTGACTGGATAGGGAGGTTGTGGTATATTTATACAGAGGAGTGCTACTCAGCCATAGAGAGGGATGAAGTGATGCTCTTTGCAGCAACATGGAGGGACCCAGAGGTGATCATATTAAGTGAAGTAAGTCAGAAAAAGACAAATTCATATGATAGCACTTGTGTGTAGAATCTGAAAAAAATGACACAAATGGACTTGTTTACAAGACAGAAGCAGACTCACAGACATGGAGAACAAGCTTGTGGTTGCTGATGGTGGGGAGAGAGGAGGGATGGATTGGGAGTTTGAGATTTGCAGATGCAAACTACTACATGTGGAACAGATGAACAACCAGGTTCTGCTGTGGCACAGGGAACTCTATTCAGTATCTTGTGGTGACCTGTGATGAGGAAGAGTATGAGAAGGAGTGTGTGTAAGAATGTAGGGCTGAATCACTGTGCTGTGCCCGGAGGCTGGCACAGCGTGGGGAGTCAGCTATGCTTCAGTTAGGGGAAAAAAAAGAAGCAGCAGCTGATAGCAGGTGAGTTTGGTAAGCAGCCCCCCAAATATACCTTGAATGGGTTCCCCAAGGCCGAGCCCTGCTCCCCACCCAGCCCAGGAGATAGAGACAGATGAGAGATTACAAAGGAGGTCAAGACACAGTTTCCTTTAAAAGGTTTTCATTTATTAGTCTTTTTTGAAGCAGTTAATTCTCTTTTCTTATTTAAAAAAAATGTGTTTCATCCAGAGTTATACCAAAGTGATTAAAATGAATTTTCTACTGAGGATATAGCTCCCCAGATCAGAAAAGAGTTTTTTTTTTAATAAACCACAAAAATAAAACCAAAAGAGAACATCAACAATCAAAAATTATCTCCAAATATCCAGGACAAAAAATAAAATATTTATTGATCTATCACAGCGAGACACAAAGAGATGGGCGGGGCGGGGGGATGCTCTGAAGTACAGTGGCTCGAGGGAGGGACAGGGGATACAGTACTGCGTGGGGGGAAACCCAGGTTGGGGGGAGATTCCTGCTGCCCCAGCCGGCACAGCCCCTCACACCCTGGGATCAGGGCTCCTTCGTAGGGGTGTGTGTGGTGGGGCGGAGGCCGGGCACAGGCTGCCATGACAGGTTAACCAAGTTGATGATGGGGGCGCCCAGCCAGCTAGTGGTGCCAGGCAACCAAATGGGGACAAGGACGGATGGACGTATGGACAGATGGGTGGATAAATTCCACAAGAGCAAGAGGGCTATTTCCAATGGAGGGGGGTGTCTTCCGACCTGAATGTCCCCAGACATTGGGGAATAGCGATTGGTGGGGGAGAGGGGGCCATGGGGGCCAAGAGATGGTGTGACCGAATCCAGCTTGAGGGTTTCGATGCTTGGGTACCAACTGGACCACAGCCAGAGGTGGGTCATGGTGGGCAGGGGGAGGTGAGACTGCCCAGGAAGTGTCTGCACCATCTTCAGAGGAGCCCCAGGGAGGGGATTCCCTAAGGGGCTGCCCTTCCCTCCTCCCTCCCCGCAGGAAGATGAGAGCACCAGCACGTAGCACCAAGTTCCCCTGGAGATGGAGAGTGTGTGGAGGGGGAGCTCCTGGGTGGGAAGGGGGTGGGGGCAGGGGGCCAAGCCCACCCACCCCTTGCCTCTGAAGGTGGGGGCCTCCCCGGGCCCACTTGGCCACCATTCTCTTGTTTCCTTGCCCTGTGGATTTCTGAGGCCGCCCGGCCTGCCCCGACCCCTCCCGGGGCGGGAACTTAGGAGGGGGCATGGGACGGAAGGAAGGAGGGGGTCACAAAGGGTTTACATTCTCCACCAAGCAGTAGCACCAACGTTGATGAGGTCGTGAGTCAGGGGTCCTGGGACGCTCACTTTCTCTTCCGGCCACAGGATTTCCCCAGGCAGGCCCCACCTGGGTTGGGGGAGGCACACACAATTGTCAGTCCCGCCCTTGCCCCTCCGACCAACTGCAGGTTATTCTCGCATCCACTTTATCACGGGGAACAGAGGCTGGAAGAAGCCACAACCCCAGGCCAAACTCTAAGGCATTCCATTGTACACGCTCCTTCTTCTGGGGAGGGTCTGGTTGGTTAACCTCGTTTCAGATCATCAAGGCACCGCCGTCTGGTAGTAGGGCCTGGTATTCTTCCCACCCCTCCCGGAGCTAGATGTGGCTCATTACCGCCACCTGGTGGCAGCGAGCAGCCAAGTGGGGCAGGACACCATCTCCGTTAAGCTCATCCCACAAGCATCAGCTGGTGCCTGACTGAGAGCTGGACACCCTGCTCTTGCCTCTGCCTCTCCCTGCGCTGGCCTGGGCTGCCTCATCTGTGTAGTGGGAAGCAGCTGGGGGTGGAAGGGAATCTACAGCCTGAGCAACTGCAGGGGTGGTACTGGGGCTTCTCTGGGTCTCTTGGGCATCATTGGGAGGTGCCTAGGGGTGGTGATCAGAACCCACCCCACACACTTCCAGAGGCATGTCTGCATCTTGGAGCCAGGGTGTGGCTCCAGGCCAGGTCTGCCGACCCTGCCTGGTCCGCCCCACTAGTCCCCCAACTCTAGGGCTTTCTATTCTCTCTCTCCTTCTCTGCCTTCCCAGTTCTTCCCTCCTCCTCCTCCCTTCTCTTTCTCTTGGCTCCTCCTGCAGGGGTGGGTGTGAGTATCAGGAGGGAGGGCTGCCAGGCCTGGCCTGGATAAGCCTGGAGGGTCCTGAGCCCACTCCCAGCTCTGTGTGTCTGTGTTGGGTGTAGAAGAAGGGATGGTTAAGGTGTCTAGCTCCCCAGCCTCCCTACTCTCTGCGAAGCCTTGTCTAAACACGCTGCCCCGTCTCCCAGGCTGATAGGCCCCACCCCTCCAACTGTCTTTCCCTCCCCTCCACTTCCAGGGGCTGAGTCTCTACCCACTTTGGTATCCCAGGGCTCCCAGGGCCCCTCCATAGGGCTTGGGAGGTTTCCCTGTGGAGGGAAGGTGGGGGCTGGGGAGGAGGCCTGGCCTCCCACCTCTCCCAGAACCTCCACCATGGGCCTCCATCCTGTACGGCAGGTTCCAAAGGCCTTTCTGCCGCCAGCCCAACCCTCCCCAGCCAGGTGCCTTGCAGATGGCCTCCTGCCTCTGGAGGTCTGCGCAGCTCTACAGCGCCTCCTCCCACCGCAGTCAGACCCTGGCCTCACTTCCCAGTGGAAGCCTGGCCCCAGCAGACAGGTGCGAGGCTCAGCCTCCCTGATCACCTGCTTGAATGGACCTTGTTCTTTCCCTACAGTCTCTTCCCTTTTCTATGGGACCTTGTCAGTCTCTCCAGTTGGATCCTAAGACCTGGGTGACCCAGGCCCCTGTCTTGCTCCTGGTGCCCAGTCAAGTGCCAGGCTGGGAGCCCCTGGAATTGGGATCCTTGCCCCATCCCCAAATCCCAGGGCTGACTTTTCAGCTTCTGTGATTCCCCTGGAGGCTCCCTCAAGCGCCTACACCAGAGAGCCAGCCCAGGGCCATGTCCATGCTAGCTGCTCCCTCAACAGGATCTGCTCCCCCCACCTTCAGGAAGGAGCTCAGTGCCCTGCTTGAAATGGGACCCTCATTCTATGGCAGACTCACCACCAACTCCCAGGCCCCCGGCTCCAGCACCTGCAAGGCAAGGAGAGGGGCTGTGAGCGTGCCCACCTCTGGGGATCCCGCCAAGCCCTCTCCAGGAAGCATGGGCCTGGCCTGAGATGAGCCAAGTTCTGGGCTTGGGTGTTGGGAGCCCTCGGCTCTGCTTGCTCACTGTGTGACCTGGGCGAGTCCCTGGCACTCTCTGAACCTCAGTTTGCTTCATCTGAAACGTGGTGTTTTGGAAAAGCTGATGCTCCCTGGCCTTGCATGGGAAGGAGAGAAGGGGAGGCCCAGCTCTTTGCTATCTGAGGGCCTGAGGTCCACCCCCAGGTCCTGGCTCAGCTCTTTTGAGCAGGAGAAGAAGCCGGGGAGGAGGAAGGACAGGGCCAGAGCTCCAGGACAGAGATCCTGGCCGTACCTGGGAAAATAGGAGACAGTCCGAAGCCAGGCCTTGCTGCAACTCCTGTGGGAGGGATTTGCAGTTGGTGTGCGGCTGGCCCGACTCCAGCCTCACCACCTATGCCTCTCTGCCTGGGACCCCGTCCTCCCACTGCCACCTCTCCCAGTGTCAAAGCAGCTTTCTTAGCAAACCCTGTCCTGTCTGGTGTCCTGATAGGAGGCCCTATGGCCTCAGCTTGTCAGCCTGGTGTCTGAGGCCTGCCCAGGTGCCTCCTTTCCCAGACTGTCCCCTCCACCCTCTCTCATGTCCTTGTGCTAGATACAGCCCCGGAGTCCCCGCTTCTAGCCAGCCCTCCTCCAGGGCCAGGGAGAACTGAGAATTTCACAGTGGAGGCGGCCCCTACCTCCAATTGGGAAGGGCCTAGCAGCTCCTAGGACACCTCCAAGGCCAGCGGCACATGAGAACAGGGCAGGTGGAGGTCAGGGCCAGGCATGTTTCAGGGGCCCTGAGCATCCCCTCTGAGGCCTGGGGTCAAGGATATTCTGGATAAACCTTCAGGGGTATTGTGAGCTGGACTGAGGCCTGAGCTGGGGCCAGGGCCATGGGGCGGGGAGTGCAAGTTGTCTGCAGGCTGGGGCACGAGGAGCAACTCACCGTATTTGGCTGCTTTAGCTGCTGCAGCTGGGGACACACCTGGGGGAGATGAGAAGCATGAGGGCTCAGGAGAATCCCCTCCTCCCAGAGTCCTGTCCCCCTGCTGACCTGCTTGCTGATTTACCATCTGCCCACTGACCCATCCTTCCACCACCCCCTACCCTCCTTCATCCATCCATCTTTCCAGAAGTCTTTATTAAGCCCCTACTGTGTGATCAGCCTTATGGAGCACACAGGGAGAGATGTCAGGCCAGGTCAGGTAGGGAGACACAATGATGACCCAAGAAAGAAATGTCACTACAAGGTCCGGCCAAGATGGCAGAGACTTTGGGAAAGTAATTGCCCTCCAAGCTTCGCTTTTCCTCTCTGGAGGGTGTAGCCATCACTACCCTAATGGACTCCCACTTGAAGTGGGTGGGTGGGTTGAAAGAGAGAGGAGAGGGAGAGGATTGGGACACCCACGTGCAAGGGGCAGCCCTAGCCAAGCCGCTCAGCTCACACCCTTCCAAATGCTGCCGGAGCTGAGCTTGGAGAAGGGGGCGGGGCCCACTACGACCTTGAGTTGCTGATCAAGTGGGGATGGGGTTCAGGCAAAGAGGACAGCTTGAGCAAGGTGGAAAAGAAAGTCAGTCTCTCTCACTCTCTCCTCAGTTACACACACACACACACACACACACACACACACAGATTCCAGAGCACCCCTTACCTCCAAAGGGCCCAACCCCTGGGACAATTCCACCGGCCCCAAGACCTCCAACTCCCAGTCCTCCGACTCCGAGCCCACCGGGTACCCCCAGGCCTGCGGAGAGAGCTGTGTTAAGGAGCGGGAGAGGCTGGTGTGTCCGTGGAGGGTGGAGCTATCATCTCCGGACCCAGGTGGAGTCTGAGCCCCCAGGACTTGGAGGGCCTAGTGGGGCCAGGAGGTGGGCTGGGCCCTGGGGAGACGATGCTGCCGAGGGCCCCAGGGGCAGGTCAGGGAATATATGCTCCGTGCTGCATTGTCAGAGGCCCCCCCCACCAGGCCCCAGGGGCCTGGCAGCAGCCCCACCTCCAGCCAGTGCTCACCAAATTGGGCGGCTTTGGCGGCGGCTTTGGCAGCAGCAGCAGCAGCAGCGGGTCCAACTCCTGGGAACACAGAGGGGAGCTCAGGGAGGGACTCTCCACGGGTCTGTCTGCCTCAAGGCCCAGCTTGTTCTGGGGTTTCAACTCACCTGCCACACCACCTGGGATACCGGCTCCACCAAGGTCTCCAAGCCCTCCGAGGGCCCCAATCCCTCCTGCTCCTGTGGAGAGAGGACGGAAAGTCAGTCTCCCTATTTCCAAAGGACAGGGTCTCCTCACCCCAGGGACACAGGGCAAGTAGACCGGTGGCCGAGGCCATGTGACACAGACGTCCATTCCCAGACACCCGGGTCTGAGCAATCAGGCCAGGGCAGACCCCCTTAAGCCTGGCCTGCCCATCTCCTCCCCTGCCCCTCGGGCTGACGCTGGGAGCCTCAGGGGCCCACAGTGGTGGCCACAAGCTGCCAAGAGGGGAGGACTAGTCTCAGGTTCTGACAGTTCTGGTTTTGAATCCTCTCTGAGCCCCAGAGCCCCATTTCCCTAAATGAGATGATGGTTGTTATCCTGATCACCCTATAGGTATTTTGAGGAGTAAAAGGACACACTGTCTGTGAAAGTCCTCTGAGTTCAAACCCCTGTCTGGTACAGAGCTGCTAGGAGCAGTAGCAGCAGGAGTAACAGCCGGCACTTTAGGGAACCCTCAGTCCTTAGTGCTTCACCCTTCTTAGTCTGCTTGTTGTCTCATGCAACAGGAAGGTAAGCACTGTTATCATCCCCATTTTGCAGATGAGCAAACTGAGGCACAGCAGAGGTTAAGCAATGTGCTCAAGGTTCCATGGGCAGGAAATGGCTCCCAAGCCCTTAACTGCTCTGTTTCCCTGGCAATGTCTGGCAGACGCAGGCCAGCAGAGCTGCCAGTAAGAAACAGGAGCAGGGCCCATGGGTCACCAGGCCCGCCGGGGGTGGGGAGGGGCTGAGGAAGCTGGGATTTTCCAAGGTGGAAATTGGCCCCAAGTGGACCAGCCAGGGCTGGTTGGCAGTTCCCTGGCAGAGGCCCCGGCCCAGATCCCAGGAGGCCAGGAATGCGGGGGGACACAGACAGCGTGGGTCTGGCCAGGCGGGGCTGCTTGAGTGCCAAGTGGGGGGGGGCAGGGGCAGGCAGGTCTGCCACGTCCTCGTGGCTCGCAGCGGGTGCAGTCATGCTGACAGGGAGGCGGGGGCCAGGGCTCAGGAGTCCTGGCTTTCCTGGGACTGCAGCCCTGGCCCCTCTCTGGCTTCAGGCCAAATGAAACTGTCAGGGCCTGAGAGGTCTGAAAGACCCTGGTCCTCACCAAGATGTTACTGCTCCCTCACCCTGGGTGGGGCTGGAAACGTAAGGGTGGTTTTGGTTGTCCTGGGGCTGGAGGCACGCTAGGCATTTAGTGGGTTGGAGCCAGGTCTGCGAAACCATCATTAATGTGTCCCAGAAACAGCCTTTTTCCATCTTGACTATCACAGCTCTGCGCCTTAGACTCTGGGCATTGGGTCCTGCCCAGGGGCAGAGGAGATGGGCGACCAGGTACTTTCAGGGATGCTGGGGTGTGGGGGGCGGTGTGTGGGGTGCACTTACCATATTTGGCTGCTTTAGCTGCAGCCAGGGGTCCAGGCACTGGGGAAAAGGGCAAAAGGAAAAGTGGGGAGGTCAGCAGCTGAGCTCTGTGCCTGGGGGTTCTGCTTCCCCCAGGGGGCCCACTTTGATTTCCTCAGCCTTCTTTGCTTCTCGCAAAGCCCTGAAGCTGTAGCTCCCCAGCCAGGAGTTCATCCAGCATATAACTGTGCCTCTACCAGTCTGGTCTGGGGGTGCTTGAGGGCTGAACTGTGCCTCCTCCTTCCACCTGTCCTCTCCTGTCTCCTCCAGGCCCAGTGTAGTCTGCCGGAGGCGGGACACATAGCAGGCTCAGTAACCAGTAGGTGAAGAACTGGAGTTCCTAGTGGTCCCCTTGTCAGCACTACGGAAGGGGAGACAGGCTGGCTCACCCAGACCCACTGACCCTAGGGGCCTCCATCCTCCTTTCCTGGGTAGTGGGTTTCTTCTCAATTTGGAGTCTTGCCACCCATCCACTGAGGAGACAGAAACTCTGAAATCTGGCAGCCTGGGGTCCCCTTCGCCTGGCCCTGCCCCCATCTGTCACCCTAGTTTTCTCTAACTGCTCAGGAGAACTTAACAGGGAATTAACTACCCACCTCTGAGTGAGGGAGCTTGGGCATGTTCTGGGAGATCTCCCTCCT